ATAAAGATAATATTGCCAATTGATTGAAATTAAAGCTGATAATTTAATTGTTCCGGCACTTGTATTTCATACACAAGAGTACATGAAACACCATGCTCTAAAAATAAACCGATTTTCACCTTGAGCCGATTTAATATTTCGTTTTTGAATACCCACCCTTAAATCACCAAAAAGCCAGCTGACTTTCAAAAACGAAGTAACCCCCCCCCCAAAAAAAAGCATAAAAAACAATATACACCCGACCCTTCATAATGGCGGGTTCAGGGGCACAGAACCCAAAAGAAAGTGGAAAAACAAAATTACGAAGCTACCAAAAAAAAAATAAAATAAAATAAACTGACTGCATTTAATACCGGTCTGCCGTAAAAAAAGAACTGAATAAAAATCGTATCACAACCAATTTTACCTAGGCATATAATACACACATATAGTTCACCATAAATCCGTTATTGTCAATGCACTTAATTCTGTGGTGAACATTAATCACTTCTTGTTTATGTGCCGTGTTCACTCAGGGCGTAGGCGATCATGATTCTCCACAACTTCCTGTGCCTTGCAGCTCTTAATAAACTTTGTCCTTCAATATGTCCTAAGCCCTGTTCCGCCATCTAATTACTCAAGCTCATTAATTGTGTTATACATAATATTCATCTGTCCTTCTTGATCTCTGTCTGTCTCTTGTGAGTGTCAGATTTTTGCAAACCCTTCTTCGTCATTATGTGTCCCAGAACCCTTAACTATTCATTCCTGATGTTAATTATCAGTTTCCTTTTTGTTTCCATTTTTTCCAAAACTTCGTCTTTGCTCACATGTTTGGTTCATGTCATCTTCAGCATCCTTCTGTAGAACCGCATTTCTGTTGCTTGAAGTCTTTTCATCTTTGCAGTTATCGTCCAGCATTCACTGTCACACGGGAGGACAGATATCACGTTACAGTTTAATACTTTTTTCATTGTTTCTGGGGACTTTTTTTTTCTATTTCCTCGCAATCTGCTTAGCTTTTTGAATGTTTCAATGTCTATGCCACCTTAATCCAACAAATAAAAATGTTGCCTAGAACAATGGTCGGAGCCCAAGCGGAATTCATATATACGATTTGTCACTAAAGAGGCTAGAAAATTACTCAGTTCCTTGTACTGCTCTAGAAGGTAGGGCACCTAACATGCTACAGCTTTAAAACAATCAGATCTTATCAAAGATGTAGTATTGGTACAATGTCTCGGATAGAGATACCCTATACCCAATTTCCCGCCTTGGCAAAGTTTGTTTCAATCATTTCACTCCAAGCAAGGTAATAAAAGCCACTAGGATACAGGTGGTCAATGAAGATGAAAAAACAGAGAGGACAATAAAGTAACGGGATTCAAGGAGACTAAAGATGACGATTGATATTAAATTTAAATCTTTGAAGATCGTATTTGACAGGAAAGTACGAAGCCTGTAAAGAAATTCATAAGCTAGAATGACGTGAGAAGAAACTATTAGCATAATACTTAAACTTACAACTAGCAATACTAATTATGAGCTGTCAATATAATACTGCGGTTAAAGTTGAGTTAGCAAGGAGTAAGTTCCACTCAGACAATTTCTTCTGAAGAATTGCTAGTGTCAACCATTTTCTATCCAACATAATTTCCTAACCTGCACTTCTTTATTCTCGATAACAATCTCATTAAGTAATTCTTTAATTTGGATAGCTTTTGGTTGTTGTATTGGTGAACAATTGTATAAGAAAATTAAAAAAAATATATTGAAAATTTCAAAATTAGGCTAATAACAAATCGCGTAATGTATGTTGGGTTGAACGCCCAGGCTTCTAGATCATTTCACATTAATGCGAGGGTTCTATCCATCGGGGCTCTATCCCTGAGCTTAAGTTGTTTCTTTTCTTCATCACCAACCTTCCCGATGTCATCAGTTCTCAACTAGGTATTTATTCTGATGACAACAATTCACCCCTGTCTTAGTAGCAAGTCCGGCAAAGTAAAACTGGTAACTGCTTCCGGAAAAGGACCTCCAGTCAGTTGTTAGCTGGGGTAAGGAATGGCTTGTAATTTTGAACACCTTTGAAGCAAAACTGCTTTCATTGACTGAAAGAAGATCTTTGCAGCTTCTCAGGATCACGATTCCCACTGACATGAATTGTGTCAATTGCTAGATGTACTGGTATGAAAGTTGATTCTCTGTGTTGCGCCAGTCAATTTTTTTTGTCAGAATTTATTTTGGATACTTATAAATCTAGCATTCATCCGTGTATTGATTATTGTTGCCATATCACATCTAGTAATTCTACTATATATCTCGTGATCCTTGACAACATCCAAAGAAGTGTCAATAATGTTATCGATCCTGATCTTGCATCTCAACTTCAGTCATTCTTTCCACTGACTCGACGTAGTTTCCCTTTGTATTTTCTATAAATATTTTCATAGTAGCTCTCATCCTTGGTACCCCGACCTTGTGAATTTAAGCGTACAACTAGATTAGCTACGCGGTCAAATCGTTTTACTGTTGAAATAGCTAGATGCAACCGTAAGTTCTATTCTAACAGTGTCTTTTCTCGGACTTCTCAACTTTGGGAATCTCTTCCGGTTTTTTGCTTTCTACAATTTTCAAAGATTTAATTGCAACAACAATCGCCATGTTCTATCTTTTTTAATCCTTTTTTTTTTATTGTCCTTTCTCCTCACTAAAGTCTTCTCATTCTCTTCCACTCCCAGTAAGCACTTGAGTCATAGTGTCATTAACGCATTGGGATGAAATTATTTTTTTAAAAATCACTGATACGTGAAGACGCGTAAATTTATGATGCTTAAAGATGCAACATTTAAAAAAAAAACTCCAAAAAGACCCACCCCCTAAAAAAAAACAAACAAACGGTGAAACAAACATGGCACAAAAAAAACAAAACAAAAAAATTTGTAATGTCTCATGAAATCTGAAAATAATCAGACATGGACAATATTTACTTCATTTAGATTGTTCGGATTGTTGTCCTTACCTTTCGCCCTTCTTCAGGTGATTCACCTGAAAAAGGCCGGAGAGTACAACGGTCGAAACGTTGGGAATATGACAATGAAGATGAAGATGAAGATAAGAGTCCGAATAATGTAAATAATGCAAATAATAATAATACCCCATATCAGAGATCCAATCAACAGAAGAAGGCCGGAGCGTACAACGGCCGAAACATCGTGAACATTGAAATAAAGATGAGGGCAACTGTCCGAACAATGTAAACAATTAGAATACCTTAGAAATATAGACAGATATTGGACAATATATATTTAAACTTTCGACTGAGAACAGGAAGTTGGTCCGAAATAAAGAAAAAGGGGAAAAAAGTTAATAAGGAATTTTCATTCGAGTTTGAACAACTACATATACCCCCTCATATATATATATATATATATATATATATATATATATATATATATATATATATATATGAATATATGAATGAATAAAAAAAAGGCATGTTTTCTTTATCAACGCGTTTCGTCTTCTGATGGTAAAATGTAAGATAAATATAAGGATTTTATTTTGCAACAGATGTAAAAAGAATATCGTTGGATATATATATATATATATATATATATATATATATATATATATATATATATATATATATAATTAACAAATCGGAGACTTCAGAAAGCCAAGGTAATATTTTATTTCGCGAAATCGATAATTGAAACAAATCGTTTATTTTATATATATATATATATATATATATATATATATATATATATATATATATATATATCCAACGATATATATATATATTGATTTGAAACACTTATACTTTGGAAATAATAAATAATAGAAAAATAAGTTCAGAAGCATTGGTCAATTCTGTATAGAGCTTAAATAAGCATAAATTTATAAAATTTAAATATCTTAGCGACTTAATTTTCACCATTCTAGTCAGGGATCATCAGGCTAGGTTATATTTTTATATATTGATTTAGATGTAACCTAACCTGACACTCCCTGATCAAAAGTGTGAAAGTGGCCAAGTTATATATATATATATATATATATATATATATATATATATATGAATCGTTTAGGGAGCAAAACATGAAGCAATGTTGCTAAATAGTCAACCGACTCCAACTCAATCCAACCATACTTATACCATTGACTTGCTGAAAAGATAACCTCTTTAATTGATTGTCCATGACGCCTAATACATTGGCTGTTAAGATATTGAATAAAATATTTTTAATGCATTCATTTCATGTCTCTGAATGAAGACATTAATCGTTCTGTCGACTAGCTTCTTTAAATTTACTAACTTGATGAAGGTGAGTTAATTTACGTCAATTTTTTATGGTCTGTTTGTTTTTCCACGCATTTGTGTCACAAAAATTTAATTTATGACATTTTGTTTTCTTATTGTAAAGTTGATGCAAAAGTTCCCGGTACCAATATTTACACAATGTTAGAGAAATCTTAAGTAAGATATTCGTTTGTTTGCTGGTTGGTTGGTTCGTTCTTTCTTTCTTTCTTTCTTTCTTTTTTTCTGTGTTATTTAGTATGAACATTTGAAGCTTACTTTCCCCAGACACATTGTTGTTGCATTGTTGCCTGGCTGTTCTAGCCTGTTTAATATGTTAACATTTACAAGAAATAAATGACTAAATATTGTGGACGGAGATATCTCATAGGTGCTATCATTTTGGTTTCGACCTGCAGTACACACTAAGCTATACAATGTCCACCATCACACAAAATAATAAAACGACTTCACAAAATCGTTCTGTTGACAAGCTTCTTTAAATTTGCCAACAATAAAGGCGAAGAAAAGTACGCTAATTTTTATGGCCTGTTTGTTTTTCCACGCATTTGTGTCACAGAAATTTAATTTATGACATTTTCCTTCTTTTATATATTGTGTGGATGATACACTGTTAGAAAAATCTTAAACATATGATTTCTTTCTTTCTTTCTTTCTTTCTTTCTTTCTTTCTTTCTTTCTTTCTATCTTTCAGGCTAACGGCCATATCAAGTTGAAACCCCAGTTCTCGTACGGTCACCGAAGTTAAGCAAGGTCTAGTATGGTCAGTACCTGGATTAGTGACCGCATGGGAATACCAGGTGCTGTAAGCTTGGATACATGGGTGATATAATGGATAACGGCGCGGTAATGTTAAACAGAGTGTTGAATTTCAATTCTAGTCGGGTTCGATACGCGCAAATGTCTTTTTCGAAGATATAAATCCACCTCTTCTCCCCCAGTTATAGGTTAATCAGTAGGACATGTATCAGTAAAATCATTATTATCTCCCAGAAATTCTGATAATCTAAAAATATTTCCTGTATTTAAATAACCTTCAAAAGGTTGATAAGCGGTAAAAATAAAATCAATCAATATATATCTATGTTATTTAGTACTAGCAGCATGGCCCGTCGTTGCCCGTGCTTGATTCAAAAAATCGTACGACTCATACAGCAATCGCTATCACGTGACTTAAAATATTTTTGCCCTTCCTTGCCTTTAAAGGAGTGCCCTTTGCCGTGCTGATGTTGTTACATGACTTACTTCTTGCCTATCACACACTGCGAATTTTTTCTAAGCTCAATACTAAACATTAAATCTGTTACAAAAAAAGAACTAAACAAAATGAATACAAAACGATCAGCTTTAAAAAAGGACTCGTAACTGGAAAAACCGAATGAAAAAAGAATGTTAACAACAAATACTTTTTCACACTCAACCCAGTTCTGTAGAATCAGAATCAACGTTGAGTTTAAGCAAGCGAATGAACCAATTGGGGTAAAGTGCCATGCAGATTTAAATTTTTCCCACTTGTGACGAATGCAGCTATCGATTTTTTTTTGCATGCTAGTATGCTAGTTAACATTCGTATCAGTCAACTGTTGGCTCTCACGCTGGCCAATAGAATCTTCCTGCCTATTCGTGGCAACCAGCTATAGGCTCTCACTCTGGCCAGTAGAAAATGGCCGCAAACTATATGAAAACTGCCGTAGAAGCATGAAAAATCGATTATTTCCACTATCAATGGGAGTTGGGAAATGCAAAGTAGGTCTTGGCCTTTCCTCTAACTTGGAGCATGTGCAGGTAAATTCTGGTGCAAATTCGTCGAAAATTGCGGCCGTGCATTCGTTACACACACACACACACACACACACACACACACACACACACACACACATCCTGCCTTTTATAGATATAGATTTATGTTTGAAACTTTCTTTCTCTGCTGCATTATTATAGTGTTGTTGCCAGGTTGTTCTTACTTGTTTGGAGAGAAAATAAGAAGCTACCATTTACAGGAATTAAATGACTACACAAATGCTGAGGGCAATTTCTCGTGGGCTTTGGTATTTTACTTCAATCGGATACTCTGAAGTACAAATGTGGTTAACTCTGTTGTGTTTTACACATTTATAAATCTACCATTCTTCAGTGCATTGAATACTGCTGCCATATCTGCTCTGGTGTTTCTGCTGTACATCTCGAGATTCTTGACAAATTCCAAAGAATGGTCTGTAATGTAATCGATCCTGACCTGACATATCACCTTCAGTCACTTTCTCACTGACATGATGTGGTTTCCCTTCTGTCTTTTCTACAGATATTCCCACGGGTGCAGTTCAGATGAGCTTTTTCCTCTAGTGCCTCAACTATATGAATTTAACCGTTCTACTAGATTAGCAATTAGGTCTCATACACGTACAAACGCACACATATTCATCTGTCCATTGAATTCTGTTGCCATATCTGGTCTGAGGCACCTGTTGTATGTCTCGAGATTCTTGACAAATTTCGAAAGAATGGTCTGTAATGTAATCAAACCTGACCTGGCATTACAACTTCAGTCGCTTTCTCACCGACGTTATGTGACATCCCATTGTTTTGTCTACGTATGTTTTCATGGGAATTGTTCTAATGAGCTTTCATCCTTAGTGCCTCGACTGCATGAATTTAAGCGTGCTACTAGATTTGGCCTTTTTTACATCCTTAATCTTTCGAAGTGTTTGTAAACAATTGACAATTTAGATATTTCTGAACGTTTTTGGCGCTATGCATGAAATATGAAAGTCTCGATATAACGTGGCTATTTAAGAACATCACTCTAGCTTTCAGGTTTCGTAGCAATAACCATATTTTATGTTCAATTTCTTTTTCTCTTAATTTGTTATAACGGACCCAAGACCAAGGTATTTGAAACTTTTAATATTTTCACATCCTAAATTTTATGATGGATGTTTTAACTATCAAGGTTAGTTATCAAAAAGTATAGACATGGATGTACGCTTTACTATGTCACAGAAATGTTCCACCAGAGATTACAGTATGGTTCAGATCCCATTCACCCTAGCCCTGATATTACACGCATGCTGATGAGATAGCTTTATTAGAAGTGGCCCTGAGGTTCAAATTCCTGTAATATTAGTTACCCCCCCACCAAAAAAAAAGTTTATCCTTAGCACCATCAATGAAGAAAGCACCAATACAGGCATAATTATTTTTAATAATTTCACCGCAAGCAAGGCAGGAATGCCACTAGTATGTAGGGGTTACAGAAAATGAAAGTGAAAGAGAAGACTGAGTATAAGGAGGATTTAGGAAAGTACAAAAGATGAACGGGTTTCAAGAAGATAGAAGATGGCGATTGACATTGCATTTAAATTTCTTTGTTTCCGATTCTATAGGGCCATTCCACAATGTTCAAAGAAGGATGGTCTTTATTCGCTAACAAGCTTTTTTTCACCATTAGAAACAGGAAGCAGTTATATACAGCCGACAGTTTAGATATTCTGAAAATGTTTGGCACCATGCATACCATCCATATGAAAGGTTTCTTTTTTTTTATCTGACGAGACTATTTAAGATCATGACACGAGTTTTCAGTTTGATATTTTGGCTTCGTAGCAATTTGCAGTGTTGGGCGAAACCACCTCTGGCACAATCTGTTCTATGTTCAATTTATTTTTCTCATCTCTATCTATAAATGGCAGGATGTGTGTGTGTGTGTGTGTGTGTGTGTGTGTGTGTGTGTGTGTGTGTGTGTGTAACGAATGCACGGCCGCAATTTTCGACGGATTTACATGCACATGCTCCAAGTTAGCGGGAAGGACAAGACCGACTTTGCATTTCACAACTCCCATCGATAGTGGAAATAATCGATTTTTCATGCTTCTACGGCAGTTTTCATGTAATTTGCGACCATTTTGTACTGGCCAGAGTGAGAGCCTATAGCCGACAGGAAGATTCTATTGGCCAGCGTGAGAGCCAACAGTTGACTGACACGAATGTTAACTAGCATACTAGCATGCAAAAAAAATCGATAGCTGCATTCGTCACAAGTGGGAAAAATTTAAATCTGCATGGCACTTTACTCCAATTGGCTCATTCGTTTGCTTAAACTCAACGTTGATTCTGATTCCGCAGAACTGGGTCGGGTGTGAAAAAGTATTTGTTGTTAACATTCTTTTTTTCATTCAGTTTTTCCAGTTACGAGTCCTTTTTTTTTAAAGCTGATTGTTTTGTATTCATTTTGTTTAGTTCTTTTTTTGTAACAGATTTAATGTTTAGTATAGAGCTTAGAAAAAATTCGCAGTGTGTGATAGGCAAGAAGTAAGTCATGTAGCAACATCAGCACGGCAAAGGGCACTCCTTTAAAGGCAAGAAAGGGCAAAGATATTTTAAGTCAAGTGATAGCGATTGCTGTATGAGTCGTACGATTTTTTGAATCAAGTACGGGCAACGCCGGGCCATGCTGCTAGTATGCTATATTTGTCATAACTGATCCATCCAGCGAGGTATCTGAAATGTTTAGTATTTACTAATTCCACTTCCTGAATTTTTATGATAGATTGAGAGTAGGTGCTATCACTAAATTGCAATTCCAATTCCAGATCATAGTTTCTGTTTTGGGAAGTTTTATCTTGAGTGTCATTTCTTTGAAAACTTGATAGAGTATGCTGATATCCTGTTCAAGATCATTCTTATCCCATCTATAAACTCCTATGTCATCAACGTAGCCCACATACCTCATCATCAGTACATTGACCTCGGTAGGGGAAGTAGGATTGTTGTTTTCTATTGGTAGATACGTTTGGGGTGCGATATGGATTGTTTAAATGGTCAGTGTTCATCTCTTCACAGCCGTGTTTGTAAATCCACAGGGCATAGTCGAGGAAGAGATTAAATTGACTGGGGCTCTCATTTCCTCAATGTCGTTCTACTGATGAGGTATGAAATGTTTCTCTATTGGGGCCCTCGTCAGACATGTAAGATTCTGTAGGTCGATTCAGTTCCTCTATTAGATCATTCAGTCGATTTGGAGCTTAGAAGGCGAGTTCTAATGGCTGAGAAAACTTTATCGATGAGGTCTTATGCTGCTGTGATATCGACAAAGCAAGCATATGGCTTCCTACAGTTGAGTAATGGATATCGGCTCAGATTGAGGAATCGGAGAGCAGAGTTCAAATTCCACTCGAATCCATAACATTCGCTTACATGCTAATACCCTTGGGAAAGGTATGAATCGTCTTCTTCTCCAGCTATGGGTAAATAGCAGGACAGACCGGGTTCTATAGCCTTGGATGGCAACTGGTCTACCGCAGAAAGAAATGGCAACCTATTGCAGAAAAAAAATCTGTCTCGTCAGTCATTTATCGAAAGATACATGATCACATAAGCGTGTATCACGCATGGCATTAACTGACTGAATTTATTGGAGTTGTTTGAGGACATATATGCCATCATTGCACCTCTTACCAGAACGAAAACCAAACTGGGTCATGTGGAGTTGATTTTCGTAATACGATGAGGGCCTAGTTAATATAATGTTCATTAATACATTCACCATAATGCATCCAATTAAGATTCTTCTGTATGTGTCATAGTCATGACGGCTACATTTCTGTTGACATAATGCGGGATAGACCACACTTCTTGTGGTGCATTTCTGGATTCAGAATGCTTTCATAACATAGACAAACTTGTTATTGGGTTCCTGGAAAAACTAAGTTATTTTCAGAAGTTCAGCTTCAATGTCGACTAATGTTTTAGTATTCCTTATTTTTTTTGTTTTTTTTTTTTAAATAGCTTTCTTAATTTCCTCATCATTATTG